AGAAGTAATGACAGAAAATACATTTTTACAAAACAGATCAATTCATTTCATGAAGAGAGTTGATTAAAACCTTTAAAACTATTAAGGTAGTTGGTATTACTAACGAATGTTAAGTTTTAATCTGTGAAAATATGTGTATTGAGCTACAGATGGTCGCATTCCGACGACATGTCTCACAAGAAAAAGCCTTTTGGTTTATCACTAGTGGAAAGCTCTGAAGCTAAAGGCTTTTTTGTCATTAGTCACTAATGCTTAGCCAGTCATGGGCTCTCTGCCAATTTGTTCTACTGAGCATTGGTATTGGCACATTTTCTCAAAAAGTGTTGAGACTTCTTAAATGCTTTTGTGACTGATTGTTGTTGGTCCACCCAAAGGAAAATCCTTTGTAGTTGACTCTGTCAATATAGCAAGAACTTCCTACATTCATCATTATTTCAATGTAAGAGCCTCAAACACACAAAGGGCTCATGAAATTGGCGTATACTGATTCCACCAGACAAAGTCAGATCCTGACAGCAAATAGAAGGCATCTTAGGAGGGATTTCTGATTTGGGAGAGATGTGTTTTATTTATAGCTACCCCCATACTTCAGGTTTCTCTAATGGGTAATTATATCACCACTTGGGGATGCTTCTATTACAAAAAGGGTTCTATTCTGTTATCCCAAGGTGACAATCAAAAAATACACGACTATTTTAAGGTAAGAATTGTCAAAGTTCCCATTTTAAAAACACACAGAAGGCCATGGTACCTCTTCTGCTCTTACATCATAGCCTGAAAGGGTCCCACACATTCACTCTAGTCTTTTTGTGTCTTTTGATGCCTTTCTCTTTTTCTCATAATCTTATAATTCTGTTTGCCTCTTGTGACTCCCAACCATTTTAGTATACGGTGAGAACAGTGGATATTTAATAGTGCATGGCTCTCCACAAATACTGGCATAGATAAGATATTCTTATAAACGAAGAAAGATCCTCCATTATACCTGTATGTGTGGGAAGGTTTGATCATTAAGTATGGAAAAAGAAAAACTGCTAAGACACATGTCATTTATTCCAACACTTACAGGTCTGGCGGCCTTAATTTTGCTTGCCGCTTTTCTTTCAGATCTAATTGCTGTTACTGATTATCCCATATCTTTGTTATGAATGTGTTTTGTTGTTTTCCACTGTAAATCTTCCTCCCTTGTTTTTTCAGCAAAAATAAACCATCCTGCCAGTGAAACTGCATTGGGATTTTTTTTCTCTAGCTTACAAATTTTGAAAAAATACCTTTTGAAAAATTAAGACTTTTTTTTTACCTACAGTATAAACTGCGCAGCTGTTTCGCTAAAAAGAGTAACAGCTTTGCTTATCTATATTTTATTTCAGTGTGAATATGATTAATTTTTTCAAACTTTTGGAAAACTAGAGGCCATCTCTCAGAAATTAAAAATAGACAGCACTGTACCACCTTCTGTCTCCTAGCCCTTTCTCTGTGGATTGGGGCTATAGATAGTACAGGGATAAAGACATATTTTAGATGTGGGAAAAACAAACCTTGGCTCTTTCTTGGTTGCACAAAACCAAGAGCAGCAACTCAGGGAAAAAAAGTACCTTTTTTAACTTGCTTGCTCTTACAGTGTGCCCATAAACACATTCCGGAGCCCATTTCTGAAACATCTTCAATGCACCGTCACCAAAGATCAGTGTTAATACCTCTAAAATATGCTATTTCCATGTGTAGCACAATTTACCACCAAAAATGTACAGCTTGCCTTCATATCATTGAATCTGCCCTTCCCTTTCCATTAAGAGAAGTCGACACTGGGCACCTACACCCTTACATAGAGCAATTTTCCACTCAAATCTCTAAAATGCTTTGATCAGTTTCCCAGCTTTCCCTCTTCTCTTTTGGTGAAAAGAATTATTGACTCTGAATTCTTTCCTTCCCTGTGGTGATCGAATGGAAGGCATTGTAATGAAAAGCAGAGCAACTCCATTAACTCTGTACCTGCACGGCTGGCAGCACCTATTCCCTACCAGTTATTAAATGGCTTTATTGGATAAAAAAGACAGAGAGGAAGGACTTTTTTTATCTTAGCTTTTGAGAGAAGTGTTTTCCCAGTTGGAATTTTCTGAGTCCTATTGTTTGGCTTTGTCATAGTCTTCCTGGATTTGTACCTTACTCCAAGTATTATTTCTTGAGGAAATATACCCATGATGACCACCTAAATAACCAATACTATGGCTTAAATGTCTCCTACAAAACAGCCTTTCGTAGAATATGTATGCTTAGTCAGTTACCTCAAACAAGCTTGTGTAATACATATAATACTGAACTTTTATCAATGATACATCACTTGTTCCCTTCAAGTTGAGATTCAATTAGCGAGCACAGACTTAAAAATTGGAAATGCATATCCATCTATCCACCAGAGGAAATATATTCTATCTGTTAGTTTCAAAGAGCTTTGACAGATAAAGTGAATGTGTTGCTTGGATAAAAAGATTGGAATGTAGCGGCCCACAGATGGTTGGATGGATGTTCAAATTCTATGCTTTAGAGGCTTGCAAATATTCTCCACTACAATTTTCATTACTGTTTAATTCAGCCAACAGATTGTCTTTGTCTGTTTACTGCAAGAACTGCACAGAATGTCAAAAGTGTCATTTGAAAGGATTTGAAGTATTTATTGAGACAAGTCGTCCTTTGCAGTAATTTCTTTTACTATACGTATATATGAATAAAAATGATGAGGCTAATCTCAATTTCTGAGACACAAGTTAAAGATAAAAGAAACATTCAGGCCCTTTTATTTTTTCTTTCTTGTCTAATTTTTCATATTAGAATTTAACCACCATAACTTAGAAAATGAGAGAAAAGAAAAGCATGTTTATATCAATTTGCATCTGAACAGTGTGGTTTGGATTTGTATTTAGCCTCCCACCAGCTTTGCACATTTAGAGATGGGAACCTTTGTCCATTCTTCTTTGCAAAATAATTAAAGCTCAGTCTGACACATCAGAGGGCACGAAATTTTCAATTTACTTCTAAAAAGATTTAGCCTTTCTAGTAAATGGATGTGATTTAATGTTCATCAGTACTCTCCAAAGCCATACCTCAATGGTTGTTATCCCATATGTTTAGATGTTTCTTTGGCTTGGCATGCCTCAATCAAATAAATCAGCCAATGGAATGCTTCTGCAGAACTTCGTTGTATGCTGAATCATAAGTGGGATAATCAAGTTTTCTGAATAAGCTATGTTGCAGCTGGAACAGATCTGAACCATGCAGACTTTTAGTACTCTTGGGTACAGCCTGACTCTAAAGCACAGCACTGCAGCTCTGATTCTGGTATTATCTTACTGGATAATAATTAGCTGCCCTATTATTAGATATTTTGCAGCTTAATAAGTTATTTATTTTAAGATTTTCCTGTATTTAGCACCATCTATTTATCATTATTGTCCATCAAAACGTGCATGAGGCCAAAAATATTTATTTTGTATAATTTGATTTTTGCACTTTTTTTTCACGTTTTCATAATTTCTTGCAGACTTCCTTCTTTCTACCATTAAAGCCAGATTTGTGGAATGTCAGACTAACAGCAGTCCTGCCGACAGGCTCTCCCTCTTTAGCTCCAGCCTTTCTGTTTCATCCTAATAAGTTTGCAGTTGTGATATACTCTCTCCAGCTCAGATGATGACTTGAGCGGTGCTCAGTTAGATGTTTAAGATTGGAACATTGTCATAAATCTAACTTTATCTCTTACTAGTTTGCTTCATTCCTTGGTCTGCATGATGTCTGTTAATTAATGTTCTCTAACAACTCACTGAACCCCTCACAGAAAATGCTGTATTCACCCTGAGATTAGATTACCCACAGGTGGATGCTATTTACTAATTAGATGACTTGCAGGGAATGAGAATAAAGGGAACTGAGTAAATATACATGTCCTTCTTTTTGAAAAACATGAATAACACACAAAAAACCCATCTAAATTCCATGGAAGAGTGCATCGTGGTGAGGTTAAATTGGTGTCACTGCTGCTGAAAGACATTGTAATGTTACTGAAAGCTTAAAAGTGGGCAAATAAAAACAAAAAGCTCTGTCAGCAAGTTTACTTCATTACAAAAGCAATGCACATTAATGATAAACATCATTGCTTATTTAAGGAGTTAAAACGTAATAAAAACTTTATGAACTGTCTAAAATAATGTTTCCTTTTCAAAAATATCAATTCAATCAGAAAATAAAATATAAAATGATCTGTTTTACAAGACCTCTTTAGTTAAAAGCTTGTTCAGTCTCAGGTGTGATTCTGTATAAACAAGATATTTCTAGAAATAAGAGGTATATAAGATATCCGAAATAAATGTATATATCAAAATACCAGAAAACGGAATTAAATGACCCTCTTCAGCGTTTTAGCTTTAAATATAAAGCCAAATGAGTCGGGCGCAAATCTGAGGATGAAAAACAAAAGTATAATCCCTCCCCCGCAAACGGTGTCACTCAAGGATTAGTGTGCCAAGGAAAAAAATAACCCACTAAGAACCGAGCAGACAGATTAAAAGCAGTGTACAAAGTGGCGTGCGTGCAATCATCTTCATCAACATTGATTGTGTTGATATTGTGAAGTGATTGTCCCGCAGTATGACCCCCTCCTCCCCCCCTTTCCCTCCCTCTCAGAACAACAACAACTCTGATCCTAACTTCAGATAGCCTCATATCAGTTGGTTAGAGGCTCCGGGACCTGGTGTAGGGTAAATTGAAATGGTAAAAGCACGAAGCGGCAGATCGGGAGATATAATATTTTCTGAAGGGAAAAGAGTGGCCTGCTGGATTATTGGAAAAGAGTCCCAGCGCCTCAGCGATGATGAGGGTTAAGCTGTGTATCTGATAGCGAGTCAGACAGTACAGGAGACTTATGTAGGGCGCTCTGACTGGATAGAGCTTAACAATTAGTTTTAGTGAAATAAACAACCCCTACGGAATGGCTGTTTGTTGTTTCTTACCTGTGTGGACAACCGTAAAACATCCAGAAAAGATAATCCAAACAGGAGCAGAAGATCGTTGATCAAAGCAACCAAGTAATAACCTGGAGCTCAGCCGGTGAAATCCACGGCCGGTGTGTAATTTCCGGTGAGGACAGAGAGGGATGTCCACGGGAGAAGTTTGGGAAAATACGCAGCCGAAACAGATTGTGTAAATCCTTTCCAAAAAAATAAAAATAAAAAAAATATCCACAAATGTATTAAAGTAAAGCCAGCGCGAAGGATAAGAGATGTTGTGGAGTTCAGGACCACGACAGAGTGGACAGCTCCGGCAGCGCAGTGATCTCACCTCGTCCGCTCTCGGATCTTTTGTGCGTCGCCGAGGTGGGAGACACCAGCCCCAACCTCACCCTCTGGCTAAGTCCCGGTCAGATTTACATACAACCACCGGAGGGGGGCGGGAAAGGAGCAGGACCAGAGCCAATCACAGATATCCCGTAGTAAGCAGAGTAGGCAGCAGAGCGAGGACGGGCTGACAGAGGGAATGTGGAGCAGTTCAGTGCCTCCGTGCCGAGAGGAACGGATAGAACAGGAAAGAGTGAGAGAGAGAGAGAACTCTTTATGCATGCTCCGCTCACTAACTTACTCACTCACCCCATCAAACACACGAATACACCAACAGCATGAGCTAAGACATATTCAAGCTTAATTTCATGAAGGAATGTCGAATGAAAATGTACTGTTTATCGCGATCACTTCGCTGCTTATCCAGACTATTTAATTCCGTGACCTCCAAATGACTGAATATCCAGAAAGTGACAGTTATGTCATCAGATTAGTTTTGCACGTATCTATTTTACAGCCATTTTATTTTACCTTGCAACTAGATAGATAGACAGACAGACAGATATTTCTTTAAATAAATCAAATATTTTTATTTAAATGCATTATACCTTAGGACAGCTTTTATTGTCAAATTCTGTTTTTCTATATGTGGCAAATGTTCACTCAGAAAATCAAATTTTATTTTCAAAGTTAATATATCTTAATGAAAAGAGAAACCAGGCTGCACAGTGGAAAAGTATGTAGCATTGTTGCTTTGCAGCAAGAAGGTTCTGGGTTTGATTCTCACATAGAGTTTACATGTTCTCTCTATGCATGCGTTGGTTCTCTCCAGGTATTACCCCTTTCTGCCACAAACATGACTGATAGATTATTTGGCATCTCAAAATTTTTTTGTGATTGCGCATGATGGGGTGAATTTGTGTGTGTCTGTTTCCCTGTGATAGACTGACGACCTGTACAGGGTGTTCCCTGCCTTTCACCCATAGACTGCTGGAGATAGGCACCAGCCCCACCGTGACCCTGACAGAATAAGAGGGCAAAGATGGATACGTGGAAAAACTGAAAATTGTGTATAATACATAATCAGATATATACTATTTTCACTGGTTCCTGTTAAGTCTCAGAATAAATGTTAAAATTATTCTGTTTGTTTATAAAAATATGACAGATTGCTAAAAAGCCACTGACACTTTGCAAGCAACTGTTTGCTTTTGCTACTTGCTAATCCAGAAGAAGTGAGTTCTGCAAAGTCAATGACTTTATATGGTCGGCTGTGTTTCCTTAGACATCCATCCATCCATCCATCCATCCATCCATCCATCCATCCATCCATCCATCCATCCATCCATCCATCCATCCATC